CGTGCTGTTCCGATTCCCGCCACTTGGCTCTCGCCTCCTCCCGCAAGTGGTCCGCATCCAGCGATGGTGGCGCTCGCGGCGCCCGGGGCTCATCCGTCCACCGGTACAACCCACCTCCGGCCCCGCCAGTCGGGGGGACTTCCCCCTGCAGCAAGTGGCCGAGGCCCGCGGCGCGCCCAAGTCCCTTTGCCGGCTTGTCAATGGTGCGACATGTCTGGCGTGTCCTGTCAGCCGGGTGATCTCCTGCGAGCGCTCTCTCGCCTTGTTTTTCCTCCATCCCTGGCGCGCGTGCACACACACACAGCGTCCTGACGCATCCCCCGAAGAGACCATCCCACAGCACTTCCTCCTGGACAACACGCTGACCCCGCTGCAGGTCCGGCAGCGGTTGACCCAGTGGTACGTCATCCTCTCGACCTAGATCTCCACCTCCTCCACCCGGCTTCTAACGCCCCTTTGCCAATGGAACACCGCCCCCCTCGCCCCTGGGCCGGGGTCCCCTCTCCTGCCCGCCTCTCGTTCCCCCGCAACACGCGGCCGCAGCATGCGCGATGTCCTGGCCCAGATCGATGAGCGCGAGGTGGCCCAACTTACCGAGTGGAATACCTACCTGAACACCATTGGCGGCCTGGCCCCGGGGCTGACGCGACACTTGCGGCCGACGTTGGTGATGGTCCTACCGACGGGCTCCGGCGCTCGGCGAACCCGACGCCCACGCACCAAACCCCACTCGTACTTCACGCACCCGGTCACCGGGGGCCTGTGCTCGAACAAGCAACTGCCGAGTATGCCCACATCTGCGCCCGATGCTCCCCCCTCGCGTCAGTACACTCACATTCGCCCACGCCCGACATCGCCCTCTCCGACACTGCCATCAGCCTGCGAGTCGCTGGCCTGCCGGACAGACCCTCGGCCCGGGTCTGTGCAATGGGCGGTCAACATTGTGGCAGACCTGGAGCGCCGGACGCCCGGGCAGCCGCGACATGACATCGCCACATGGTGCCCGGCCACCGGGCTCATCTCCGCCCCGGAGGCCGAGACTCCCCAAGTGTCGACCTGCTCCAGGACCGCCAGCACGCCTGTTCTTTCTCCCGCCGCATGTCCCTTTTCCACGGTCAGTCGCCGGCGCCTGGCCGGCATCGAGATGCCACCTGCGGCCAAAACAAAACCCACAACCGGGACCGAGCCCGGGACAGGCGCCGGGACCGATACCGGGTCTGAATCCGGCGCCGGGGCCGACCCCGGGTCCGGATCTGGCACCGACCCCAGGCCCGGGCCCGGTGCCGGGCCCGGGCCTGGCGGCAGGGCCATCCTGAGTCGGTCATGCATGCGACCCCTGCGGCCTCTGGCTCCCGGCGGGCAGCTGCTGGCCCTGCCGGCCGTGCTGGAAGTGGAGGTCACCGCGCATCCGCAATTTTTGCTGTCCTCCCCCGACCAGCCCCTTCGGGCACGTCGCTTGCGCCAGCCCCAGTGGCGCGGGGCCGGTCCAGCGACCAAGGTCCGGCGGGTTGGCGAAATGCCGCCACCCGTGCCGGCTCCGGCCTCCTTCGCCTCCTCAACGAGCACCCTCTCCGCGGCCCTGGTGAGTGCGGTGTCCACGGCTGGAGGCGCATCTCGGCCGGTGTCCCCCCGGCCGGCGTCCATCCCGGCCTCCCGCTTGACCGGGTCTCTGATGGACTCCCTATTGTTGGGGGCACTCGCCACGGGTTCGGCGCCGGCGCCGGCACCTGTGCCTGTATTCGCACCAGCTCCAGCGAAAGACGCCAAGCCCACCCGAGCTGTTGGGCGTGCTGTGGCGGTTCCCCTCCGTCTTGGCGCACCCGGGGGGGTGCCAAGTGCCGGGCCATTCCGGCGCTCGATGGTCTTGGCCATCCCGCCGGATTTCGAAACCTCGCGCTTGACGGCGGCCCTGGCCCCGGCAGCCATGCATCTGGCCGAGGCCGCCACGGCCCCTGCCGCTAGTGAAGAGCCTTCCCCCACTGCCCCGGGGCCATAGTTGCGGTTTCGAAAGGGGGCCAAAAAAAAAGCAAGTAAAAGCCGCATCTGAATGGGGCCGCGTTGCCCACGGCATCTTGCGATCCCGCGTGCCGCCGCAATGGACTTCCCTCAATGTGTAGACAAACGCCCAGAGGCGTTCCCCTCGTCCTTTTTTTGTCGCAAATGCACTCGGAGAAGAAGGACACACAGCGCCTGCATTCGGGACTGCGAAGGCGCCACTCTCATGTGGGCCCCCCCTTGCCCCGCTCGCGCCGTCGGCCGGACAAGAATGGCGTTGACATGGCTCCAAGCGGGATGGGGGGGGGGGGGGGGGGGGGCGAAGCAACAGGGAACAGGGGCTCTGGGTGTGGAGTGAGATGTACCATCCTCTCTCTCTCTCTCTCTGTCCCTCCCTGGAACGAGGGACAGGCGGACGCGGGGGGGGGGGGAGGATCCCAGCATTCAAACGAGGGACAAAAGGAAAAAATATTGTGCGCCCACCGTGGGGCTCGAACCCACGACCCTGGGATTAAAAGTCCCATGCTCTGGCCAACTGAGCTAGGCGGGCCAACTCTGATCGACGCACGCCAATAATGGCTTATAAATATCCTCCCTCCAACTGCCCACCGTGCCGCCAGGCTTTTGCCCCTCACCCTCGCGGGGGATTCCTCCCTCACGTCATCATTTGTGCCGGGGTGGGGGGGCTTCGCGTCATGATGGCTGCCGCGTTGTCACCTATTCCACAGGGGCGCGGCAGCAAAAAAAGACCACCAGGCACGGTGGCCAATCTCCCCGCATACGCAGCCCCCCAGCCACAGGCACACATCCGCCCTGGTGGGGGCGCGACAGTGTCAGGCGAGGATCAGCCCACAGGGAGAGGAATTTTTCAGGTCTATTGAGGTGGGGAAGTGTTTGGAGGGGGGATCCTCTGCAGGAAGCGAGACATGCATGTGGGGGTGAGCAGCGGACGGGCGGACGGCGAGAAATGTGTGTGTGTGTGTGTGTGTGTGTGT